AACAGAAATAAATAAGGCTGAAAAGTTGCTCATTTTTCTTTTAGTTGCTCTCAAACTGAGCTCTCACTTCTTTCATTCATTACAGACTTGAATACTGGCCACTTGAAGTGCACAGGTAAGGGCCAGGAAAGACCTCAGCAGGGTGAGCACCAGGAATGAGTTTTCTGCTTTCTCAAATGCCTGCAAGGAAAATGTTGCATTGACTTCTAAATAGGTGTAAACAAAAGATGTTCAGGATAAAGGGTCACACCTATACATACATACATACTTATACTCCCTTGGCCAACAAACAAAAATGAGGTAAAACACTCTTTTGCAGAATACTCCTGTTCTTGGCAGGAATTATTTATGCAGGGAGATGTTGGGTAAGGGATGTGTTCCACCCTCACAATGCCTTTGTTTCTGAACCAGGATCCATCAACCCATTTTGGATATGGTTCTACAATGGACTTGGACTCAACCTTCAGACTTAATCATCTCCAAGTAGTTTTTCATCAACTCAGACTCCCACACCCATCCTACATATACTGGTAATTCTAGTCAAAACACACTTCTTTACATTTAATATTTGACAAGCTAAATCCTACATTTGTTTAACCCCAGCGCCAGGCAAATAAAGTACCACGACTGTCTGATATGCCACCATTCCAGCTCTTCTGTGTATGTGCGTTTGTATTTTCGCAACATGTGTGGATGATTATGATTCAGTTACATGCTCTCTCAGAGTATGCAATGCTCCATTACTGAAACCTACTATGATCCTGTACATGTGGCATTTTACAAACATATGTTGGATCAAGAACAGCAGCTTTTCACAAGAAATTCTTGCCACCAAAACAAATTTGAAACCTAGAACTTTCATCCATTGAATATGGTGAGTTTTGCTCTTTACTTAGAAAAAAAATTGGGTCCCTGAGGACTTCACAGAAATCTCAATCTTTATTTCTGATTTACCTGTGTACATTTCCAGTTTTGTGCACATTTTTTGTAGTCCTAAAAGCTTCCTTCAGGCAATACCTTACTGGTATCTACTTTACCGTCATGGGTTTAGCTTTTTACAACTATAGGTGTCAAGTTGCACATGCAGTAACATTAATAGGAAAGATATTAGACTAATTAACCACCTAGCTGACTGTCTGAAGGTACTGTAATACCTGGCTAAGTAATGATATCAATAATTTTGCACCAGAGGTTCTGAAAATTTGGTTTACATTGCATATTAGATCAACTGCTTTTTAATACTGACTATTGCAGAGATACACAAAAAGATAATTGTTTTAAGTATTTGTGCATTCTCATTCAGTTTAGCCTACAATATTTAAGAGTGCTATTTTGTCAGCATGTCAACATCTTTCCAAGAATTGTAGAGCGGAGTTGAAGAATGCTATTTTTCCACAACGACATTTTCAGTCTGTGATCCTGCAGAGATACAAGGAGGCCTACACCAGAAATGCAAGAATGCTCTGCAGAGTTAAAGTTGTGACTCATGAAAGCACCCGAGTATCTAATCTAATGATTAGTTTCAAAAGCAGTAGGAGGAAACCTTTAATAAGCTGCAGGCTAGAACCTGGCTCTGGTTCAATGTAGGGTGGGTGGCTTCGGTGGCACGTCAGCAACTGGGGGCTTTGCCTGCACCCATACCAGGGCCAGGCAGCTAAAAGCCATGTCTGCAGGGACACTGCTTTTCCTGTTCCCCCAGCTCTGCACCCTACAGCCACTGAGTGAGGAGCTGGGGAAGTGGTGCCTGTACGAATGCAAAGCAAAGTCCTCTGGCTCTGTGGGATGGATACTGCCCTTGGGCTGTGTGTTGCTGACCCCTATGTTAAAGGGCCTAAAGTGAGAGGGAGCCTGTGTCTTAACTCCAGTTGAGCCACCAATTTGTTCTGTATTTGTTCCCTACTGTCACAACATCACTTATTCTGGGAGCCCAAATACAGTGCCTGTATCCCAGTTCCTTTTTATGTGTTTTTTAACTGAGACAGCCTGCAAAAAGGAAGAAAAAAAAGTTACCAAACAAATTTGTAGTGCCTGTACAGGAGGGCATATTGCAATTCAAGTAGCTGTAAAAATGGCTTCACAAACATAACCCTTTTTTCAGTAAGTGTTTGGTTCGAAACAATGCACTAAAATTCACTGCAGCTACTAATATTTAGAACTGTCATTGTACAACATGACAAGAGCTTGTTTGTTAAGAATAGGAACACTTATTTCTTAGAAAAAAAGGGGAATTCCACAAAATAAGAATAAAAATGTAGCTGTTTAAAAGTGAACTGTACCATCTTTTATCCATATGAAAATGTTTCTCTAGAAAGCGAAATTCATCCCTGATGTAGCTTCCCTGTACCTAATGGAACTGAATTATGAACAAAATTTGACCTATTTATTTATTGCGATATAGCATTTTCAAAAGAGCAAGATGCTTTTACTTTCCAACTCCTGAATACTGCTGCTAAGACATCTTTGTCCATTGCTTTTGAAAGTGCAAGTTTTCTTATGTAGAAACAGAATCAGATCTGCAGTCCTCAGCATTTAGTGTTCAAGGCTGTAATCAAATCTCACAAAGGTCATTTGTGATACCCACGAAGAATTTTCATAATAAGAACTGTGCAATCAGATTTGCCAGTCCTAGGATGATTATAAAGATGTGAGTGATTAGTATTGGCCATGTCAGCTTCCCCACAACACGCAGGGAGATCATGTAGATGAGGGATGGATACACAAATACAAAGGCAAGACCACATGTTGCTCCAGAATACCTGAAAAAAAAATGTTGTACATTATCTTCTGTTCTTTGGGATTTTTCTCCCTTGGACCAGTTAACAGGCTGGTTGAATGACTATTGGAAGTCACAACCAAAATAAACAATTGGTTTTTGTTCATTATTATCTGTTTTCTTCTTCTCTTCCCTCTTTCAAATGTCATTTAATTACTTGACAACATTTTTCTTCCCCCAGAGTAATTATACTATAAAATACGATTAATTATACTATAAAATACGATTTATCAGCCACATCCTCAGATGTTTCTAAAGACAGACTTCCTACCTATGAATTTGAAGTTATTTGTTCTCAAGGGAGCTGTTAACATATATGTTAAAACAATATTGGCAGCCTGTGTCTTTTGTTCTCGTTTTACATAATTGTTAAAAATCTGAATCTAGTAACACCCCAGATGCTTAAACAACCTGTGTTAAGCTACATGAACACATGACTGCTTTAATCACCTAATGAGGTCCTAATACACATTTATCCGCTACTGCAAACACATAACATTCAAGTACCAACCAGCTCCAAAGCACAGCTACTGGAGTCCTGAACATCTCTTCTTTCACTCTCTCTCTTAGTTAGTAAATCCCTCTCCACATTCCCTCCCAAGCTTGGCTCATTATTCATTATTTTCCATCAGATGTCTAAAACAAATTGGTGATCAGTTACACACCAATGATAGCAAGTAGTGAAACAGAATAATTTATGAACAACCCAGATGCCAAGAACTGTTCAATTTGTTCAGAGACAAACCATAATGAACAAATTGGCAGAAATAAGGGTCAAGTCAAAGTTTAATATATCCTGTAATTTAATTCACAGCTCTATGACATTTTTCCCAAAATGGAGAGGCTGGAAGGGAAAGGAAGAGCAAAGAGGGAAAAAAAGTTAATTTGAGAACCAGTCTATCTTAGAAAGTGAGTGAATCACAGTTGCATTTGCTGGTTCTTGAGGCCCAAGGCCAATTGTGGTGGTTTCCTAATGGCGTATTCCATTTTTAAAAAATGCTTCCCTCTCCTGGTTGCTGTATGAAAGATACAGACTAAAGGGGTGGGGGGGATGAACAAAGTCTTGCCAAATGTATAGAGTATATAAACTGAAAATAAAAAGAAAAATTATTTCCTTTAAGTTTTTGTAGCTATAGAAAACTTAAGTATTGGCCAGAAATGGTTAAAAACAAAACAAGCAAACAAACAAACACTCTTTTTAATACTGACTGCCCCTCTAATTCTGAAATTCTTGTTTTTCTTTACCACAGGTCTTTTAAATTAACTTTAATTGTTACCAAAAACGATTACATGTTAAGCTTTAATTTGTTTTAAGACTACTCAAATAAAGCCATACACTAACTTAGGTGCTCTGATGCTGGCAAGACAATGTTTCTTATTCAGAGTAAGCAGGTAAATTATGAGGCCTTGGATAAGGGGACGAAAGAAACTCTCTCAGTTCACACCTGCTTGGCAATTATCCCAGTGCCTTGAATGCCTCTTTCAAAGAGCTAGAATTACAAAGAATTAGTTTGGAATTTTAAAGTGACTCTGATTTATTTTCTACATTTGTTTAGGACTTTTAACAATCTATAAATAAAAAGATGAAAGTCTGATCTCTTTCAGTTTATCTTCCATTCCAAAAAAAAAAATAGTTACTCTCAAGGACAAGAACAAAGAGCACTTACCGTATGATACCTCCTATATTGGGATAGAATATTGCCATTGCCACTCCAGCTCCTACAATTGCTATGTTCAGAGCCAACACATGAAAAATACTACAAAAAGGTGGAGAAGAGAGAGAGTTAAAAGAATTATCTGTATAAAAACAGCTTCCTTCATTTACTGTGTTAAAAGCTAAAAGGTATACCCAGAGAGAGCATTTTCATCTCTATGACTCACCCTATTTAAAACTAATTTATTTAATTGCAAATATGACATCTACCGAGTATCACAAATGCCAGATCCCATGCACTCTCAAATGTTTGGATTTAAATAATTCTCAAGCACTGTCTGTATAATTTGGCAATTTTTCTGAAAACAATAGATTTAATATTCTGCGCTTAAACATTTTGGATGGATTCATGTGCCAGAAAAACAATATTGTATAAGTGAATTCCCACATGAAAGAAATGACTTGAATCAGAAAATGATCTGAGTTATAAAAGTGGCGCAATGAATACCAGAGAAAAATGCATCACAGAATGAAAAGCATTACATAGAATACATTAAAAAACACAAAGTAATACACTGCATCTTGCATATTTGGGTAGATAAGACAATTGTTTATATTTCTGGGTATGAAGTACTATCTAGCTACTATACACACTGAACTGTTTTGGGGTAAATAACACAACAATGTGAAAGAAAAAAAGGTTTCAAGTGAAAAACCTTGAACAATTTTTGTTTTCTGACAGAATCCTTTTAGGATGAAGACAAAAATCCTTTGTGCCCTGTACATATACCTAGCCTCAAGAACCATCAAATATCTTCTGCCTTTAGAGTCTGTAAAGAGTAGATAAACTTTTAGGCATGCTACACAAACTGGTTGTTTGTACCAATTTAAATGGCTGAAATACTAAGCGATAATTTACAAATCTAGACAGTGAAATAAAGAAGTCCCTTTATAGCTTAGTGAAAAAGTGGATAACACACAGAACAAACTATGCCATAAAGCACCAATATGAGTGGTATTCAGAAAGTAGTTATCTCAGTTGACCTAATGATATGTTCAGGCATAACAGATTTCACAGATCAAAATCCTGATATTTTGATGTGCTCTTCATTAACAGCCATTTTTTTTTTAAATTCTGGTCAGAACCTGTAGAGATAGTGTGAAAGAGAGGCAATCACTAAAAAATTGAAAACAGAGAAGAATTAAATCAAAAGTGGTGATCAAGTATGCCCAAAGGAAAGGCCTCCCCCTACCTCCCCAACGTCCATATGCAGCAAGACAATGCTGTGAGGGATGATGCTCTCTCATGTTGAAACAAAGAAACCGAGCAGCTGAAGCATGAGAGAATCAGCACTGAGGATGAGCGAAGGTTTGGATACCCAGAAATATTGCTGCATCCAAACCCAATTGATACTATCCACAAGATGATGCTGTGCGACAAAGAACAATAGTTAGGCACACAGTGGACATCAGCATGGTGTCAGCATATTCCAACCTCAGTGCAAATGATGTTAGTAAGATGGACGGCCAGAATGCTGAGTGCAAGGAGAGCAGAACCAGATATTCCCACAGAAAGATCAGTGCAGTTTCAAACAATCCCTTCCCCCAAAAAGAGTCATAAGCAGGACTGACTGTGGCTCAGGATAAAACAAATCATAGAATCAATGAGTCGGAAGGGACCTAGACAGATCATCGAGTCCGGCCCGCCGCCATGGGCAGGAATGCGCACGGGGGATGGAAGGGGTCATAAGACCCCAGCCAGGTGCCTATCCAGTCTCCTCTTGAAGATTTCCAGGGAAGGTGAGAGCACCACCTCTCTGGGAAGCCTATTCCAGGCTCTGGCCACCCTTACAGTGAAGTAGTTCTTCCTAATATCTAACCTAAACCTATCCTCCCTCAGCTTGTGGCCATTGTTCCTGGTGACTCCAAGGGGGGCCCTGGTGAACAGACTTTCCCCGAGTCCCTGCTG